CGTGTGGTGAATTTGATTGGTGGTCACTGTCTCTAAGGTGACCATGAATCTGCAGCTCCTCAACCAGGTTCTCCCCCATAGCCAATACCAAGTCCAGTAAGGCATTCCCCCTAGTGGAACCGTATACCTCCTTCATTAGGTGAAGGTCCTGCATGCAGGTTAAGACACTACACGAATGGTTGGATTTGGCTGACTGCTCCTCCCAGCAGATGTCAGGGTAGTTTAGGTCCCCCATGACAACCACCTCCCTAGACTGTATGGCCTCTGAAAGCTGCCTCAAGAATTCCAAGTCTATCTTTTTCTCTTGGTGTGGTGGTCTGTAGCAGACCCCCACCAGCAAGCCTCTTTCCCCTCAACCTCCATGTATCCTAACCCACAATAACTCAACTTTCTCCTCCTCTGATCTAGGTTGCTGGTAGGAGCAAACAGCAAAACCCTGAAGGTATTTGTTTAAATACAACTATGCTATGCTTCTCCAAGTCAGTGGGGATAACATTTTCTGGCAGGCATGTCAAAAATTAAGCCCTGCATCCTCCCCAAATGCCACTCTAATCCCCTTTCCTTGCCTGATCTGTTGTTTTCTGCTTCCTGCCCAGCCCCTTGTCCAGTGTGCTGTTCTTCTTTTTGCTCCATGCTTTATGCTGCCTGTCCAGTCATCAGAAACAAAAAAGCACCTGTCTCTGAATCAGGGTAGTTTAGGTCTGCACGCAGGTTAAGATACTACATGAACAGTTGGATTCGGCTGACTGCTCCTCCCAGCAGATGTCAGGGTAGTTTAGGTCCCCCAGGTCACTTCAAGCTACTTAATCAAGCAGGTTTTTGTTGTCACCTGGGCTATGGCACCACACTTAGAAGTTGTGTGCTATTGGACCAGGTCAGGTCCTGCCTCCATGGAGCTAGCTTAGCTCATTGGTATGTGGGGCACATGGAGGCAGGACTCAGCTTCTGCTTGTGGTGCTGGGAGTCCAGGGTGGCAGCAAGAGCCAGCCTAGTTCTGTGTGAACACGTGCCAGCAGGCCAGATTGGCACTGTGCACTATGTGACCGCGCTGCCGGGGGTCTCTGCCAGGAGCAGGCTATAGGCTCCCAGAAACTGCTTCTGCCCTGTCCCTGAGCCCCAGTTGTGGACTTCCTAGGAAAAGCATGGGGATCACTGGAGCCTGAGCATAGGCGCAGAACAACGAGTGGCACTGGTCAGAGCCATAAAGCAGTGGGTAGGACAACTAAAGTTGGACTCATCCTGATGCTGAGACAGAGCTGCTGCTGGGAGGGAGCTAGTGGTGACAGGCAGGGGCTGAGGATCTGGAGTCAGGGGCACTGGCGGGGCTATGGGTTGGGCAAGGGCAGGAGCAGGGGACTGGCATATTGGTGCTGCTCAGCACTCAACATCCTAGTGAGTGAAGGAGGCAGGAGAAGCTCTGATTTTTCTATGATAAAAATCAAAAGCAAATGCCAAAGTGTGTAGATATTTAGAATTCATGTTATTATGATGATAGAGACACTGGTAGGCTTCCAGTTGGCTTGAAAATTGTAACTATATCAATAAAACATTACCCAACTGATCTTTTAATATAGTGGTATTTCATTTTAATTGCTGAAGAACATGGATTTTGGGTATTTTAATGAGATAATTTGGGGTTTTTTATCAGAGAATTTGCAATTTTTAAACAGGGAACACCAGGATCTCTTTTAGTGCAGCAAGTGGTGGGACCCAAGCAGAGGAACCTGCCCAAAGCTAGCACCAGGGACCCAGCTGGAGGGCAGACAATATTGCTGACCTCCTGGCCAGGAGGAAATGCTTCAATACTTTGAAGCGGGCCACTACGAAGAGCACATCTTTTGGGTGATAGATGCCCAGATGACAGAGCGAGGACACCAGGAGACATGACAGCAGCGCTGTCCAAAGGCCAACTGTGCAGCCATGGCCCACTGGTAGCTGGCCCAGAGGAGCAGGCAGCTCTGCTTCAGTGCCCATACCACAGCCCAGGTGTCTGTGAGGTCTCTGTCTGGGTCTGGCAGGCATACAGCCATGGGGCTGCAGCTCCAAGGGGACAGATACTGTCACAGGTAGCAGCAGATTGCAGCCAGGCAGCAGCCCCCACTGCCAGACTGCTGCTATGGGTAGAAGGTTCAGGGACCACTCTAGGATAGGGCTCCTTCAGCAGTCCAGCTGGCACAAGGGGCTACTTTTTATGTAGATCTATATAGATATATACATATCTATATCTATACAGTAAAGTATCTATATAGATATAGATATGATATATATATCTGTATTATAATAATAATAATAATAATAATAATAATAATGCTGACCTCGTGAAGGAACACCTTGAGAGGCTGGATACCTTCAAGTCAGCTGGCCCTGACAATCTACACCCCAGGGTACTTAAGGAGCTGCTGGGAATCATAGCCCAGCCTCTGGCATGGATCTTTGAGAACTCCTGGTGCTCTGGTGTAGTGCCCGAAGACTGGAAGAAGGCCAATGTGGTGCCTATCTTCAAGAAAGGGAGGAAAGTGGATCCAGCTAACTATAGGCCCATCACCCAGACTTCTATCCCAGGGAAGATCTTAGAAAAGTTTATTAAAGAGGCCATCCTTAACTGACTGGCCGATGCCAACATCCTAAGGGATAGCCAGCA